GGAAGGCGCGGAAGAGGCGGAGAAGGTGGCGGGGCGGCGCGCGGAGGGAGGCGTAGCGGAGCAGCAGCGCGGTGGCTGGGGCCGGGTCGAGCGCGTAGTGGCCGGAGGTGAGCGAGACTGCGAGGAGCTGGTCGAGGTGGCGGAGCGTGGAGGAGAGCGTGACGAGGCGGAGGTACGAGCGCCGCAGTCCGCCGCCGGGGTCGCCGGCGGGCGGAGGGAGGACGAGGCGGGGAGGAGGCATGTCGCTGGCCGTGGCCGCTGCCGTGCCGTGCGGCGGGGCGGCGCGGGTGACCGTAGCTGATCGTGGGGTTCGAATGGATATAGTATGGCCGTTCGATCGTATATGGACGGCCGCGATGAACGGCAGAGAACTGTTTGGCAAATCGAACGAATGTATTTATGGAACGAGTTGGGCTTAATTTTTGGAGGGTTTTGGCTACTTGGGCCCGTAGTATTGTGAGGTAATTGACCCAATGGAACAGTTTAATTCACGGTTCTTTTGTATTTAGACGTTTATTTTTTTTTATCCTAACTAGGTAAATGTCCGTGCATTGCACCGAAAGCACGGTTTTTGTTGACACCTACTACGATGGATTTACAGTAAATAATAAAAAATCATATCAGACGTGGACACGTGGATCCATTCTTCTTATTGCCGAGTGAATGATGATTTTTATCGGACGCGGACACGTGAGCAAGTATCTAGACTTGGTATCGTAGTGTGATGATGATATTACAATCTTTTCAGGTGTAGAGGAGAAATAAGATGTTTTTCAGGTTGCATTAATAGGGATGTCTGAACGTGACTAAAAATAGAACAAGAGTCATTAAAACTGTTAACTATAAATGTCTAAAATTGAATTACGTATACATGTATAGTTGACAACCACGTGATATTAGACATGAAATTTTAGCAAATTAGGGGAATATTGTACATTGAAAATCTACTAATCTCGTATAGGAATCCTGCTTCCAAAATACGGGCAGCGGATCGGGCCACGTCGCCCGCAAACCCTCCAGCCGTCAGATCCAGCCAAGACGCCATATGGACCGTCCGATCTGGGTTGTAGCGGGTCTCACACCCGTTAAGCCATCAACCCGGGCGGTCGCGAATCCTCGCGAACCCGCTCGCGGGCGCCTTGTCGGTCTGTCCGCGGCGCGTTTCTCTCCTCCAGTCCTCCCACCGCCGTTCGCCTCCTCCGCACCTCCCTTCTCCCGGCACGGGCGGCGGCCAGCGGCCCCAGCGCGGGCGGGGTGCAGGCACCGTCAACCCCGGCTGTCCCGCTAAGCCGTCAACCCGGACCCGCGCCGCCGGCCATGCGCACGGCCCGTCAGGCGCGCGTCCGTGCGACCCTTGCACCAATGAGATTTTCCCCTTCTTCCCCACGGGAGCAGAGAAGAGCACGCGCTCGGCACTGCCGATTCCCACCAGGGGAAGAGCGGCCGGTGGCGATGGAGCCTGCCCAGGGCCCTCGCGCACCCGCGTGACCACGGGCGCCGCCGGCTGTGCCCGCGCGGTTTGGCGGCGGCGGTAGCCCGTGAGGAGGAGACCGCTCGCGGGCGACCCCCGCACCTCCCTCCTCTCGGCGCGGGTGCAGGCGGGGTGCTGGCGTGGCGGCCCTGGCCACTCCGGTTCAGGCCATCCCGGCGTTGGATGAGGCCCCAGCGACCCTGTCAGCTCTCGCCTGTAGCGCACGCCCAGGATCCCCTCGATCCGGTCGCTTCCGCTACCTCGGGTCCTCGGCGGCTGCGCTTCCTCTCTCTCTTCTTGCCGGCCACCTTTCTCATTGTCTCCATGTCGGCCGCCGCCAGACCTTTGTCGAGACGACGCAGCATTGGGCCAGGGTGCGAGATGCCGGATCCATCAGTCTGCGCCCGCCTTGAGCTCAGTCGTTCCTCCATGGCTAGCCGCAAGTGATGTTGGCATGGATTGCGTCGACAATGGCGGTGGCTAAGTGGTGTCGTTCTCGGCTGGATGAACGCCGCCGTGATTTATAGCCAAAATCCATGGCGTCCGTACCTCACTCTCCCGCAGCAATGGACTACCACTCCCCTCCTCCAGGCAATGAGGCAACCGCCAGATTTGGCACTCATCCAAGCTGTGAAGGTGAGTCCCAGGTTTGCCTCCGTCCCATGCTGTGATTTATCCCTCTACTCTCCTATTGCTTAGGATTATTCTCCTCATATGGACTTTATTGTAATGCTATTAGAAAGCATTTGTATTCAAATATTTTCAGGAAGGAGAAGGGAGACGAAATGATTAGTTAGCTCCTAGATGTGCATTGATTGAGTGGGAGAGATTTCGTAGTTCTGAATTATGCAGTGCTCAGTGTTATCGTTCAGAAACGATTTCTAACCTTAAGCCCAAACATGTGTAATCTGAACCTGGTTTGGGATTTGTAATGGTATTTTTGGTTATGCTACCATTTTATCAAAATAGAATTTGTACCAATGCTACATTTCATTCACTCTCAAAATTGCTTTTATTCACTATGCTATAAGATAAAACATGAAAAATAAGAAAAGTGGCGTATGCAATAAGGTATTCTTTTCTATGCATTTGGCAGAGGAAATATTCAGGCTTTCAGCACATCTAAACTACCCTATAATTAATTGAGCAACTTTGTTAGCCCATGTTGCAGTAATCTCCTATCACAAGATCGTGTCTTTTTTTATGGTTCTTGGGTCCAAATTTGTTTAATCGAGGCGTTCCTTTCCTCTCTTCAGGAAGAGTAGAAGGGACGAAAAGAAGACAGCGTTGCCAAGCAGCCGGCCCATGACAAGGTTAGGATGCGTGCTAGTTGTTCTTGCTCTCTGGCATTTCTTGGAGGCTTTGGTTTGATCGGGTATTGCTTCCATTGTTCATGAAATTTGCTGCCTGCTTGGTGAGCAGAGCGCAACCTGAATGTCAACCAATCAAAACTGATTCAGCACCTAGAGTTGATCAACAGAAAGAATCAGTCGCGATGCCACCGTTGATATCGACGTGGAACTCTACAAGCTGGTCCACAATAGTGATAGTGACATCAACATTGTATTTGCACTTCTGAATTCTGATTATGCTCTTGCTCGGAAAGGTATGGGTTTACAAAGAAAATAAGGCAGTTCATTGTCTGACAATGCTTATCTTGTTCCTTTTTTTGTAGATAATCTCAAATCATGAATTTTGAACTTTTAGATGAATATCTCGAATGTGCAGATGTTTTATATATAATGTGCTTATAAGAATGAACAAGTTCCTTGCAAAACTGAATAAATTAGACCAGAAACCTGTAAGGATCATTCAACTTCAGACAAGAATCTTAACTGCAGTATGATATAACGTGGAAATGCATGCCTAACATCGATTAGTATCTTTTATGCACTACTTTAAGCAACTAATCCAAAGAAAAAAATATCAATATGTTTTCAATCGAGTGATACTGTCATAGCACATTAGTCCACCTCACAGCCTCAGTTGTCATGTGCAACACATTGGAAAGTTATGCTACGGCTACGCTAAAATTGTCACTGACATGTCTTGTCGAGTTCATAAACCGGGGGTCCCTCGCGGACCGGCTTCCCTGTAAAGACTTGGCCAAAGCAGATAACACGCAACTCATGGACCGGCTCAAATACCTGAGCAACAGGCCGGGGGAGAGATCCAATCTCCGACCGGAAGACCAGGCCGAGGAGGAACATCGCCCGTTTTTCCGACTCCGGCCCACATCTCCGACCGGAGCGCTCGCTCCGGTCTCCAACCGGCCTCCGGACGGCCTCTCCGACCGGAAGGCCTGGCCAGAAGCACCGCTTCCGACTCCAACCCCGTACTCTCCGACCTTGGATACGCCAATCCCCTGCTCACTGCTCTTCTCCGACTGGCACGACCAGAGCCGATTGGGACCAACCAACCGGGGACGCTCGCTCGGTAAAAACCAGGAAACGTCCAGAGAAAGTAAGACAGGGCTTACAAAGTCAAACCATGATACCAGGATCATACCCTGTACAACTGCAGAAACAGTACTCTGCAGCCTCCCTGACACAAACAGTGTTGTAGGCGCCGACCTTTTCCCTATAGTATTGTGGACGCCATTGACTCCCTTACGGTAAGGCACCCCCCACATGTCTCTGGGCATCGACAGTGTTGTAGACGCCATGATTTACCGTACCGAATGAACATGGTGAGCCCCCTCACGTGCCTCTGGGCATCAATAGCGTATGCAGGTACCGACATCTACCATACCTGAAGAAGGCGACGCAACCTCCCATATGCATCTGTCATCTATAGTAACATCAACAGTATCGTGGGTGCCTACAAACGTCTTGTACCCGTCGGCGTGGGCAACAAGGCTTAGAAGCAAACATACTCTCTTTCTCTCACTTGTAAAGCCATCCCCTTCATCTATAAAAGGGGATGCGCTCCCTCCAACATAGTTCAGCTCTCTCCAGTTAGCCCAAGTTGATTCAAGTCCCTTTAGATTCATTAGATCAACTAAGTTTACTAGCTCACAACCACAGAACCGTCAGGTTCGGACCTCCGGCACACGCTTGAACACTTAGCTCGTAGTGGAGCTCCGGTCGCTTTCGGCCCTTCCAACCAGAGCCCGACCGGACCCCTCGTACACCCCATCTTTCTCCTTCTCATTTGTAATCCCACTGTAAACTTCGAGCACCTGGGCTCAGAAATAAAGTCACCGACCAACTCAAACTGGACGTAGGACATGTTGCCTGAACCAGTACGTACGGCAAAACTACAAATATTTACGTGTTGATCATTTTGTGCACCGACATGTCTTCTTTGGTTATCACGAGTTCTTCTGAATCGCTATACTATCTAGGCCTACCACGTATTCTAAACTTTCTTTTTTCTATTCAAGTTGATATAGCCATTATCCTTTCTTGAGAATGATTTCCTCAACAGGCTATACACAATGTGTATGGAATCCGGTCCTGTTTGCCTGCAGCGGCTGGCTGAAGTATCGCAGGCTGGTGCTGGCGATCATGATTGCCGCGCATGATTTCTAGTTCTCCCGTACAAAAACCTGCCCGTTTCCAACAGGAGAAGTAGGGTCCACGTCGCTCCAAATTCTCTCGGCCGTTAGATCTTTCATTGGACGGCCCAGATTTGTTGAAGCGGATTTCACCCGAAGTGGCTCCTCGTCCTGCTTCTCACTTTTTCCACCTTCTCCTCTGCTTCTCCTCAGCTTCTCCGGCTTCTCGTCCGATTCCAGAGAAACAAATATATGCTCAGCTTCCGCTTCTCCTTCCATATTCTTCTTCCAGCTTCCTCTCTCTCCCACCCCGTCGCTCTCTCCCGGGTCCCGACGCGAGCCGCGGCTCCCTCTCTCCCTCCGACGCGACCGGGCCACGGAGCGGCGCGACCGGGCCCCGGTGGTGTCGGCCGACGCGGCTTCCCGTCGGTGCTGCCTCTCCCGCCGCTCCTCGTATGCTCGGCGAAACCCTAGCTGTTCTTCCTCGCCGGCCATGCCGGCTGCTCCGCTCGGCGGCCGCGTCCAGTGGACGCGCTCCCCGCGGCGGCGGCGGCCGTCGTCCCCACGGGCTCCCCCCGGCTGCGGCGCCACCGGCACCCACCAGGTACGCCCACCCCTTCTCTTCTCTGCCTGCTATGTGAAGCCGAGCACCCAAACCCTAGCTTTCCTCAACCTCTCATTTTCTGTGGCTCCATTTACCCTCAGATTTCGTTTGCTCATACTCTAGGGTTTGTATATTCATGCTTATTTATTCTACCCTTTCTATGTTTGCGACTTCAATTGCAGGTAAACCCAAATTTGAAGATGGAGCTAAAGCCGGAAGCATGACCTAGGCCATATCAACGAGCGTCAGTAAGATGTTTGGGAATGGTAAGTTCATCCTACAGCCATCATGTCAAATCGATTTTGAAACAATCATTAGTCTGTTAAAAGAGCTATACATGGCGAGAAAAGCTTGCACTGAAGAATTTGGGAATAATTAGCATTGAATTGAAAATTTGATGTTTCTGGTTGCACATGGCTGCTATGTGACCATGTTCAGAATGAAAATAGATGCCTCTTGTATGAAATGGTCTTACAATCTCTTGATTAGTGTTTGTGAATTCCTAACTGAAGCTAATGCAAATTTTTAATCGCTAGCAAAATAAGTTTTTGCTAAGGATGTGTTTACTAATGTTAGCATTTTTTTGGCTCTTGCAGGGAGTAAAAAATTTGACGATGCTTGGATGAGTCTGTGCTACCATTTCTAATTTGATTTAATTTGTAATTCTGCAGGACGAGCAAAGTCTGCAATTATTGTGCTACCTTCTGGTGCTTCTATCAAATTTGGTAGCATTGCAGATTCAGTTTTGTGGACTTACTTCTCCAATCAAGAGCAACAGGTCAGGGTATGTCCGGTTTCACTTTCCTTCTGTGCTCACTTATGCAGCTAAATATTTGTAGTGTAGGTTCTTTACAGATTATAAACGTTACCATGCTACTTCACATTGATGAATTTGCTTCCTTTTTGTTTTTTTTTTCTATCTATGTTCCCCTTTTCCCATCATAGATTAGGATTTTGCCATCCGATGCATGATAATATGCTCAGGATGTTTTCATACTTTCTTGCTATATGTTCTCTTCCAGTACGTGTAGGAGCGGATGTCTATTACAGGTGCACCACCTTCGTCTCATATGTGTCATGCTCATGGTCAGATTATTTTACAAAAGACACATTCAGTATCCAATGATTTTTTCGCGCTGACATGACAAAAAAGGTGAAGTGCAGTTATTTATTCCTCAACTCTTGAAGATAGCAATGATTTGTACTAAATTTACCTATTGTTACTTCCTAAATGGTTGACTTTCTACGATCCTTCCAGATCATCCTACCTTACTAGCTTACTAGCAATAATTTGTACTGAATTAGCTCTATGCTGAGGTTATTCTTTTTTCTATAAAAACACCACTGATTAGTACTTCATCGTTGTTTACAGCTGTTTGCTGATGCATGGGTAAAGAAAGCATATGATAACTGGATATATGTCATTCGATATGATGGCAAAGGTCTATTGACACAGACTGCTCTTTCCTTCCCTGTCCCTATTTTTTCTTAGAAAAATAAGCGCTACTTACCAACTTCTGTGAGTCTGTTCTTCTTCTTCCTCCCTCAACTTGCTTTGCCTTTGTACGGTCCCCTACAAAAAACTCCCCTTTACTTCCTTTTGCCACATCATGCCTCTAATCCTTTGATTTCCTTTTCTTTATGTATGGATTGATTTTGCTTATGCATATGATTCATGTTGTGCCAGTAAAATCTGAACATGTGTCTAATTTATATGATTTTTATACATTTGCGTTGACTTTAATCTATTTATGTGTTTTTCAGTTTTCCTTATATTAGTTTGCTCCCTTAACACAGGAGTAATTACTTTTTGCTTCCTTAGCTAGCATGCCATTGTAAGTGTTACAAATTAGTTAGCTTGCGATAAATTACTCACATTATCCATGGTTCGTAGTTTTAAGTAAGCACTTCTATATATTTATGCCTAAATTGGTTCATGTACAATATGTCCATTAACTATTAATAATGGAGGCACATCATCTCTTACGGCCCCTGTCTCAAATTGTGGACCACACAGATTATGACAAATAACACATTTTCTAATTTCGGTACCTCAGGTCTTAATGGGATAGGTCCAGCTACAGACCTCAGTTATTGATTTAACCATGTTTATCTTTATCATCATTGATTGTTGCCCTTTGATCCATTGTACGTGTCTAAAAAATGCTGATGATGAATGGGAACTTGACAATTTTCATACTGATACATACTTGCTACTATATTTTCAAAGGTTTCTTTTAGCGCTCTGACTTCTATAAATGAATTCTCATTCATACAGCTAGCCACCTCATTTTACAGCTTACAGCATCTATCATCTTGGCTTCCGTAAATGTTGCCATTTTAAAGGGTCAAACCTCTTGCTGAGAAATTGTTGATGTGTATCTTTTATGATCTAAGGGACTGCAATTTCTTTTCAATGGTTTCAGACTTATCTACATAGCCCATTTCAATAATTTTAGGTATAATACGCCTTTCCTGATCTGTAGTGAGGTCTGTCCTGAGGGATTCAATATTCACTGGTGATACGCAGCGGCAACTGAATAGTTGGAGAAAGAGTATCTGCACTGAAGGATCGCCTTTCTTGGTTCACAGATATTTTGATTGCCAGTTTAGTTCTAAGGTATAGCTGCATGTGTGCTCCTGAACAGAACCTGTTATTACACACTGAACAGAACCAGCATAAACTGAAACAGTCTCTCTTGCTCCCTCATTTTTACACTCAACAAAATAGCTACCCCACAATTTCTCCGTTTATACAGATCTATTTGCCATGTGTTCAAGAACTTATCACACACATGAAATCGACATCTTTATGACAGAGGGAGTGATGCCATAGAACAAGACGTCCGCTTAACCATTTTGCCCCACACGCAAGATTTTATTTTGCACTCAGCCCTCTGTACATAGCAACGGCGCCTGGAAAAACAACAACCTTGGTCGCTCGACTTGGTGTTTGTATATTATATAGCTACTTCAAATTTACTTACGGCACTATGTCCGTGTAGTGTCAGTAGCTACATACCTGTCTACCACCCAATATGTAAAATATAGTTCAAGTACCTCCTTAGCATACAGTTGTTAAGTGCCTCATATTTATGGACAATCCTATAGGATAATGAATCATGTATTGTTGCCATGTTTGATCTGCCTATGGTTTAGTAGTGATGTAAAAAGGTATTTGTCAGGTTAGAAAGCCACTGGACAATATCAACGATAGCTTCAAGGTTGCTGGTGTTACGTCCTTGGATTCAGTTCAAAGAGTAAGTCATGATCTAGAGTTTACCAGATGATGGAAACTGCATTTGATTACTGAAAGCAGTTGCCATTCCATTGCGAGTGCCATCAATTTGATTGATGCCTATTTGGGGAACTTATGAATTTTCCTTTAAATTTGTAGAATGTCGGACAAGCATGGAGGCTACTGAACATTGGGAGGAACTTCTTTCTTGCTGCTATTGCTGAATCAAGAAGACCAAATGGAGAAGAGTTATTGAATAAGTTGCCTTTTCGACCTCACAAGCTTCAATGAATTGTTGACGACAGACAGCCTCTCTAGCATCTTGGAACGTGAGTAACCTTTACTCCTTGAAGCAAAACTGCCATGTTCTTTTTGACGCCAGTGTTATGTAAACCAGCGATAATTCTGAAACCTATTTTGGACGGCAAATGTGAAATTTCTTGTCACAAAGTTGTGTCTATCAAGATATAGGTGATATCTTTACTCATAAATCATTTTTCTTAGATGTCCAGTTATGAATGGCCACAGCACAGTGAGTAAAAAAAGGCACTATTATTAATTGTGCTGCAGATAGTGGCTTTCTTTGCTACATGTTGTGGACCATTTTTCTTATTAAAATGTTGATTCATTACTGTTTATTCAGTTATTTAAGAAAGCACAAAGAATTATCTGAGTTTGTAGGAAATTGTCCCCTTTTTGTGATCCACTATAGCCTGCTGGACAACTAGATGTTAAGTGTACAGCACCCTATCTTGCCTTCCATTATTTACATCTAGCATTTTTATTTTGCTTCCAAGCTAAATTTTGTTTTTTTTACCACACAAGAACCCTTCTTCTGTGGATGAATGCTTCCAGTTTATTATGACACCCATAGGCCTACCCATGGCCTATGTCCATCACATGTGCTACGGTTGATTGATTTAGGACAATTTATGAATCCTCTGCTCATAATAGATAGCCTTCCCATTTGCGTTCGGTTCCTGCAGGTTGTTACATATGGTCCCCATTCCAGCTATGCCAAAAACCATGTTGTCTGCCGCTGCTACTGCCAACCTATTTGCCACACAGTGTACAAGTCAATTGTCCAGGTTTATCTGATCGTATAAAGGTTGGTTATCAAATTCTACAGGTTTTTCTTCGCTCAATCCCATGGAGTGTCTCAGTTTACATATACCTCATGTTCCATTTGAACATTTGCCTCATTGGTTTCGACAAGATGACTCAACATTTTCGCGATTTTACATAGCTCAACTTTAATACAGTCCTCTCCACGCATTAGAAATAATTCAATGCTCAAAATTTGTAAAGTACGTAGCAATATAACTCAGCATTATCGCGCCTTTACATGGCTCAACTTTAGTACAGTCGTCTCCACGTATTAGAAATAATTCAGTGCTCAAAATTTGTAAAATACGTTTCTTAGCCTAATTGAAGTCCCTACATTTTTTAAAGCATGAACTCAAGACAGGTAGTCCAACGCAAAGAGTTGGCTAGATGTCTACCAGATGGATTTTCCAGTAACCTCCCTGCTACTTCATAGTTTAATTAGAAAGGGTGACATACATGATGCAGCACGTAAATAAAAAGTCGCCATCATGTGTGGCACTGCACACCTAGATAGCTGTTTCAACAATTCTTACATATATGAAACCCTCTTTATGAAGCTTTAGATGTCCTACTGTGCTGACAAATTTAGCACCTTCATTCTATGCGCCATATGTACTAACCACCTTTATAATGCTATAGGTACAAAACAACATAACGGCTTCATCATTTTTCTCACAACATTTCATCCGGAACAGTGTTTTTCATCCACTTTCCTCCAGCTGAATGGGGCCTTTGTGCCATGGACAACCCTGTTTCGGAACGGCTGCAAAACTTGCTATTAGCAACGGTTCCTGGGGACAGGCACACCAGCCTCTTTAGTACCTTTTACATGCTATTGTCCCTTTGTATATTACATTATTGACGAACCTGTTCTCACGTTTTACAAGCTATTGTCCCTCTCGTGTACTCGCATATGCGCGCGATGGCGCGCGCCCTGCACTAGGGAACAACTACCTAAGCAGAGTGTTGCGGCCGTCCGGCGGCAGAAACAATAAAGTATGTCACCCGGTGACAGTTAGTGTGACCCCCCTCAGGTTTGGCGATAGGGAGTCGGATCAGCGAGGCAGCGTGCCGCGGGGGCACATCGTAGCCGGGCACTTTTTGGCACGTATATTCCACGTATTTCTTTTTTTTTCGAGGCGGTGCACGTATTCTGCTGAGTTTCCCTTTTTTGTTTCCGTAAATCTTCTCTTCTCCCCAGCCGATACGATACGCAATTTTTCCACCTTGTGACGTTGACAGGTATCGGGCGCGCGCACCAAGTCCTGTTGGACTAAACCTCTTCTCCCTTCTTAGGTGGTAATAGAAAGGCGAAAAATCAGATGGAGTAGCTATCGTGCAGAGCTTTAAGTTGCGTTTGCGGGGTTCTACATTCTCGTAAATAAAAAGTTTTTAGATCTAGGTTTCCTTCAAAAATATTTCTCTGATCAATTATATAATCTTGTGAAACCATTTGGCTAGCTCGTTGAAATCTTAACATTAGAACTAAAATCAGAAGGAACCAAGTTTTAAGTATTCCTCTGGACTACTAAAAAATGAAAATCGGTTCCAAATGATTCTCTATGAAACGTTTCTCTCTTTATAGCTTTTGACGATGATCCTAGTGCTACCAAGAGTATGAAATGTTTCTCACTATCAAACACATGATCTTGGGGCTTGTGGCTCGGACACCTGTTGCAAGTACGATCGAGTTAAGTTCTATGCTAGCCCCTTAAGAGCTTGCCACGTAATAGAATTGTACACGCCCTTAGGGCACCCCTTATGGTGACTTATGAAGTAGTTCTAATAAGCATATAATATCTCATATATAGAAGAGAAAAGATATCTTTTAATTCGTCTCATGCACTTATACTAAGATCATATGAGATTGTCATGTGGCACTATTTCATATGACGAGTTATGGGCTAAAAAATAATATTATTGGAGATATTCTTTATACCAAGATCATGACACCGATGCGGTGGTTTCGCTTTTACTAAAATTGTCATAAAGTAAAACACTATTTCATATTTCACAAATGACGGGGTGGGATGGATAAAAAAAAAATATTATTGGAGATATTCTTAGATTTAAAACACGCTTTCCTGCGAAATCCAGGTCAGCCTCTAAAAACCGCTCACCCACCAGGTGGATTCGTTACGTAGAGCTGAAGCAAAACCCCGACCAGTAGTAAATAAAGCGTCAAACGGACTTAGATTTAGTAAGCCCTTATCCAGGTCAGCCTCTATACACCACTGGCCATTCGTTTCCTTCCCCGCCATAATGCAATGGGCGAATGGGGCACCAGATAAAACGAATGGGAAGAGTGAGACAGAAAACAGATAACGACCGATCAAAAAGAAAACAGATAACGCGACGGCGACTGGAGAATTCCCGTTCGCATGGACCAGACAGAAACGCAGCGAGCCGATCGGCAGCTGGCACCGCCTGCTTCTTCCACGGCCTTGAACAGTTTTTTTTTTTTGTGTGTGTGTGTGAACGGGCACGCGGTACGCCGCAACAAAGCGGATAGAGGTTCTGACAATTGCGTGGTCCAGCTTCCAGCGCTCGTTGGCCCAGGGCCCCTGGCCCGTTGAAAAAGACCAACCCTAGCTCGGCGCACAGCATTTGACGTGTCCGCTAGGCTATCACCAACTGGAACTACATATTCCCGCCCGCACACCTAGGAAATCCCAAAATTACAGCAATGCCATATACGTACTAGAAAAATAGACTTAGAACAAAAATCAATTTCTTTTCATGCAAAACACGGCATCCTCCTAAAACAAATTAAGCACGCGTTCCCAGCTTATACTTAGGTCTCACCAAATGAAACATCTGCCAATTGATCATCAGGAGAGATTTTAGACCTGAAAATTAATGTAACTTGTCCAGAGTAAAACGATGTGAAATTAAATAAACCAACAAAAACATGAACTGTGAGGTAATTATAGTTATCAGTGGCGGAGCTATGTTAAGATCTCAAGTGGGGAAGAATATACTAGCTGGTGCTCCTCGCCATCAGTCGTTGCCGGTGCCGCTCGTCCACTCGTTACTCGCTGATGCCAACATGAGAGGGAGGAGGCCACCAGCACCTCGCGCCCTAGTCCTTGACCAATGACCACGGCCTAGTCCTCGACCATGCCCCGTGCTAGATCGGTGCGGGAGAGGAACAAAGGAGGCAACAGAGGAAGAAAGACAGGGCCCCGACAATGGGTCGATATGGGACGTCCTCGTCCGTGCCCCACGCCGTGCCGCTGCCCTCGACTGCTCCCTGTCGCTGCACGCACCCTAGATGGCTGAATCCTTGATGCAAACCGAAGAGTGAAAGACCATCAAAGATTGAGGTAGAGCCCGGTCAGGAGTTAATGAGTTGGGGACACTCCACACGTGGGCTGATGGGCTATGACTCAAGCGAACTCTTGACCTTCTTCAATTCCTTGTCGCTTCGTGCGATCATGTCGTGCCACCGGCGCTCGGCGGCGTCACCTTCCTCTATGAGGCGCCAAGAGGAAGAAAGAAGAGGGGGCGAGGGTCTTCCATGCTAGCTTCACCTGTGGTTATTACCAATTTTTTTTTTTTTGTCTTGCTAGTAAGGAGTATTCCCTACATCGTGAGTTTGACCATAGTTTTTTCTACTAAATACAGTTACAATGTCTATAATTGTGTAACCTGGCCGGATCTAATAATCCTCATTAGATATTATTGACTTTTTTCAATAAATTTAATTAAACATAAAATAACCTGACTTAAGAAATGCTTATATTTCGAGGGAGTACGTAGAAGCAATCTAGGATGAAAATATGGGTAAACATGTGTAAAAGTACAAACCTTTATCTAACCAATCTCAATGAAAGAAACTACAAGCTACATCTGAGTGCCAAGTGACAATTAGTAGCGCTTATTAGAAAATGTAACCCACGTCATTCAATGCCAAAAGTTGATGTATAGTGATGAAAAAAAGACGTGTTTTCTACTTGTGCTCCGCTCATTTTTATATTTATAGTAATAGTATAGAAATTAGACGGAAAATGGGAAAGAGTGTTTCCCATCTATCATCTCTGCGGGATCCCGTTTTTAGTTAGAAAATGGACCTGTATTTATCCAAATCTGGCCCCAATAATTGTCCACCATCTTCCCCACAGACGGTCCAGTGCATCGACACACGTTGTCAAAGTGACCTGCGAAGTAGGTCTGCACCTCACGTAGAACTGACCCTGCGTTTATTTCCCCCTGAAACGACGAAATACAGCATAATTGAGGGGCATATCCACAAAAGCTTGTCCCGTCCTTAACCAGAATCGCCGCGAGCCAATCCGTCTCCGCCAGCAAGCACCAACCCCACCATCACCACCCCCGCCCGGCGCCCGCAGCCTTTATTCGCCACCGCAGCACCCCCTGCTCGGCCGCTCCAGGCTCCAGCGTTCCCACTCGGCCGCTCCTACCAGCGCCGCGCGCCACATGGCTCCCGCGTTCACTATCCTCCTCCCCGCCGCCACCTCCGCCGCCGCGACTGCCTCGCGGCTTCCCTCGGCGGCCGCCGCCGGAGCGGCATCCACCTTCGTGCGTCTCCCGCATCACCCGACGGGCTGGGCTGGGGCCTCCGTCGCGGCGCCGCTTACGGCAGCGCGCAGGCGGGCGCCCGGCGTCGCCTACGCCACCGCCGCCACCGAGAAGAGCATCTACGACTACACCGTTAAGGTGGCCTGTTTCTTCTGTTCTGTTGAGATTGAGATTTCCGCTCGCCATGGCCACTTGAATTTTTTTACCATAGCCTGCTGCGCTGGCCCCAATGGATGGCGTTGCGCTGTGACGTGCTGACATGCCTGAAATCGTTTGTGCGGGCGTAATGGAAGCACCGTATGATTTAGACTGTTTTTGTCTCGCTGCTTGTTGCGCGCTGTTACTGTATCTGTATTAGGCATCGAGGTGGTGTTGTTGGGGTAGGTGACCGGTGGGGGCGTTGCAACCATGTAATGATTGGTGTTTTAAGTGTTCCGCGGCGCTGACTGTTATGTTTGATAATCGGCTGAAACAGCCATAATGTGGATGCTATTGAAGCGTTTACTAAATGTGTATGACAACATTAGTATCACTATCAGGGTTGCAATGTGCTGCAAATCGTAGAATGTTTCATGGGATTATGTGTTCTAAGGAGTTGTTGAGGTAGGCGCAAATTTTTAACCGTGACCAATTCAATTTTACGATATACATGTTTTTTTAGGGTTGTTGAACTTGGCTGAAGTTGGCCAAATCAGGTTGACAGAGTCACAGCCACTTTTGCAGATCAGGTCCTTCTAAGGTAGTAAGGTTAGGTATCAAGGGCGCAGAGTGTTGTAGCAGTAGACTGAATGATTCTCCATTCTTCTGACTTTTAAGGATGCAAAGTATACTGTGCTTGTTTTCCAACTACCATTCCACATAAATTATAAAATGGATATTGTCATTTTGTTGGCATGTAATGTTAACCAACTAGATGATTCGCTGAACTTTCACAGAACAAACCTCTTCTTTTCAGATGCGTGATTGTGATAGAATTAAGTTTGCATCTGAGTCATGCTTTAAGATGAAAGTGTTAAGGGAAAATTGGTTCTATAACATTGAAAGATCACAGGAATCGGAAAATACCATCGAAAGAGTTCTGTCACGTAAAATACCATTCAAAGATGCAAACGTTAACTGAAAGTAGCATTCCATCACGTTCCGTCACCTTCGGAGCTAACGGCGTCTGTCTCCACCCGCTGGGAGCCTGGGACGTACGCTCCTTCTTCTCCTCCATCCATCTACTACTCGCCGGCCGGACTGTTTGCCGAAGCCAAAAAGGACGAATGCCTGTGACATGGCGAGCAGAGCAGCGGCGATGCTGCTAGTGGCGCCGTGCGGCGCCCGCGACCTCCCGAGCTATGTGGGTTCTCGGTGGGCCTCGACGCTGTGGTCGACGGCTGGCCGACCACAAACGCGTCCGAGATGGGTGCCGCCAACCGGAAGCTGCGGGGGCAGGTAACTGCGTCGATCGCGGGCCTCAGCGTGAGCGAAAATGCCGGATTGGACACCCTTGGACAGCAACGGATCGTGCGTCTCCGCCGTCCTCTTGGGAGAGCACGCACATCAGTGGACGCCGAGCAGCCGGCTGTCCTCACAGGACATCCACGGATCGATTGGGCTGGTGCATGCACACGTCGTCCTTTTCCATGCGAGAAAGCCGAAAGCGCTCGTTTTGGCGGAGTCCGGCGAGCTGGTACCCAGTGCAAGAACCGTCGGTCGCTCCTGGACCGCGACCGCGACAGCACGGTCGCGCACAACGCCACTAGCGGCGCCTGTCCGAGCGGCGAGCGGATGGAGAGAAAAGGAGAAAGCAGACCGGCGGTGGCGACTGTCTTGGTGCCGGCGGCGCTTAGCTCCGGCCTTCGGCGCGGCGTCGGCTTCGATGCGCACGGGTGCTCTGTGCTAACCGCACGCGGCTCCAGTGCGGGAAGCTCCGGGCAGCGGGGTGGCGGCGGGAAGGCCCCGTTGCCCGTGGGTCGTGGTGGCGAGCTCCGGCGGCTGGCTGCTGTGGGTGGAGTCGCACGGTGGTGCGACGCAGCTCCGGCGGAGGTAGCTTCGGCGAGCCAGGGCGAGTGCGTCTCCGGCGGCGTAGGGCGTCGACGCTGGAGTGCTAGGCAGCAGCGTCCGAGGCAAGGACAGGCGCTGGGCTTGAGCTCCGAGCTGCCTGGGACGAGGCTGTACCACCGCAGGCCTGCCCAGGTTGATGCGACGTATACATGCTGTTCTCGACGTCCTCCCATGGCTTCTGCTCGTTTTTGAATTTTGAGTGAAGCAATGAAGCCGAGTCCTCGGACGGACGCAACCAACGGCGTTAACAGCGAAAGTAACAGAGTGCTAGATTGCGGAACGAATGCTCACTTTTAATGGTATTTTACGGCACGACGAACTTTCGGTGGTATTTTCTGATTCTCACGTTCTTTCGGTGCTATGAAAGCAATTTTCCCAAGTGTTAAACCCACCATGGATATTGCTGTTCGATAATGTGTTCATTCATGTGCATATTTTCGATTGATTGATTCCTATTCCTCCTTTCAACTTTATTGGCAAATTTAAGGTGCATGCAAAGTTTGAAGGTGGGCATTTTAAATCATTGTTTTTAGGATGTATTGGGAAATTCTTGTAGCCCTAGACTTATTGGACCAGTTAACCAGCTATATGCTAGTGAATGACTTAAAATAGCAGGGTGGTTAGTTGCAAAAACATCAGGCAGGGTCACAGTGAAAATAAGTAAAACAAAGAGAGCTTATTATGAGAAATTTTATGGGATACCATTTGTTAAGTGGTGAAATCTCAAGTTTGTGAATTTTAGGTTTCCCCAATGCTTTTCCTCCACATGTTGTAGTTTATTGGCATCTTACATACGAATACATGAAGAAATAACTTTAGTACTTTACCTTAATAAGATCGAATATGTATGCACTTGTACCTGAAAGAATTATTCACTTTTCAGGACATTGATGGAAAAGATGTTCCTCTTAAAAAGTTCAAGAATAAGGTGTTGTTGATTGTTAACGTTGCTTCTCAATGGTAATTCATTGAAAAATCTTTCACCAACCACATTCTATGGTAATTTATTTAGTATTTTCTGGCATTTAACTTGGCATTCATCTGTGAATCTCAGTGGGTTGACAACAGCAAATTACACTGAACTATCTCATATCTATGAGAAGTACAAGACTCAAGGTACGGCAATTTGCACTGAACAATGTTGTGTATACTTCATTTTAGGAAATCTAAACTAGACATTATATTTCCAATTAAAAGAGTTGCCAAAATTTAAGTAGCTGTACCCTTTCAATTGTACGTTTGATCCTAATTATCTCATAAAACCACACAATCAAAACCAGCAGTTTAACTCTAATATACGCTGATGTTTCTTGTTTATGCCACTTTTCTTGTTATTATGTAAGTGACCTTTTTGTTTGTCGCATATATCCAGTACGCCTATTCTACTGGATCATCTCAATGCATTTGCTGATTGTCCTGATTTCTTGTCTGAGTGAGCATAGGTCTAGGAGTTTAAAGGTTTCTATTAATTTTTGCAATATTTCTTGTGTCGTCGTAGCAAAAAAAAAAAAATCTTGAGTCGTCATAAGTGAGTAGTTCTTGCTTAATATATCTGTGTGGGGGCAAACCCACATTGAGCCAAGCCAGGGCACATGCCCACACTCATATTTCTGTTTCAGTGGACGTTGGGCCTTATCTATGGTAGTTGTAAAAGCGCAGTAGTTACCAGACCCCTGCTTGATTTTTGGGCTGGTCAGCCCCTTAGTGTGTACAGCCATTCCAGATGTTGTCATTGTGAAGAGGATCCTCCCCTAATCTACAGTTAGTTCCAAAAGTTAACTTTAGAGTTTTGATGCACATTCTCCTCTCAGGTACATGAAAAGGAAATGTTGATGTTAGCATGAACCTTGACTTCTTGGGTTAATAGTAGATTTGACATCCTGCATTGTGTTGTTTAATAGTTTATTTGACATGTAGGGTTTGAGATTCTGGCATTTCCTTGCAATCAATTTGGTACACAAGAACCTGGATCAAATACTCAGATTAAGCAGTTTGCATGTACAAGATTCAAAGCTGAATTTCCTATTTTTGACAAGGTATGGTAATTGCAGGCAGCTCAGTCATCTGTTCCATAGTTTATCCTGCTTATCATTGTCTGACTTTACTAATAAAAAATATTAGTGCATGATGTCTTTTGCTCTTCCTTCTACAATGTCAGGTTGATGTCAATGGACCTAATACAGCCCCCATCTATAAATTTCTGAAGTCCAGTGCTGGAGGATTTTTGGGTGATCTAGTCAAGTGGAATTTTGAGAAGTTCTTAGTGGACAAGAATGGCAAAGTTATTGAGAGATATCCACCAACAACTTCACCATTCCAGATTGAGGTGCGTGATTACATCTCTAACTTACTACGTCACACCTTCTTTGTATATTCAGTCTATTTTTGGACTCTGTGTTATTCACTTATTCAGAATGAACATTTTATTTTCCATATGGTTATAAGGGATAGGTACTTAATTAGGTGATGGGCACTTAATTGCATATGCCTATGCAGTGTTATCAATCATTCATTTCCCTATTAAGTAGTGATCTTGTGAGCATATCATGTGTCAATTAAGCGGAAGCATGTAATCATAATATCTATAACCTATGAAACATTTTTGAAGAATCATTTAAACTAAGAATTAAATCAATTTGTCCTCGACAGCTGATTTTACGTAGTAAATTTGAAATAAAAGATAGAATAGAACAAAATAACAACATGTGGACCCAATAATGGATTTTGTGTACATCACGTTTAGGGATGATGACTTAGACGAGCATCTTTTGGAGTGTCATTCAACATGTTTTGCTCATAAAGTTGCTTTAGTGACCATCTTGAGGAATGGCATTTTAATTTTTTCTTGATGCTTGGTGCTTGGTACACCAATAGCATAGAAAGTACTTGATAGGTAGGCAACTAGGGTGCTTGGTGCATCCACCTGAAATTAACCTTGTCACACTTGGGCTATAAGGCTATAACAGAGAGCTTCATATGGAAATTCCATGTGGCTCTAATAGTTCGTGTTTGGAAAAAGTCTACTTAACCCTCCCACATTTCATACATGATCTACTTCACCCCCAACTATGAAACCGTCTGTTTTACCCCCTGAACTTTCCAAAACCGTCTATTTTACCCCTCCGGACGGTTTTTGACAGCGGTTTTGGAATGGTGAAGTTTGCTACAGTAACGGTGGGTTTGAAAAATCATAGTAAATCATAGAAAAATCATAAAATGAAAAATCTAATTTTATTGGACTCTAAAGTTTGCTACAGTAACGGTGGGTTTGAAAAATCATAGTAAATCATAGAAAAATCATAAAATGAAAAATCTAATTTTATTGGACTCCACATGAGTAGATCTACACAGTGAATATATAATACGGTATGCTTTAGTACAAAATTTTTACTGTAGCCTTAGATTAATTGGAAAATCTAATTTTGTCTGTAATTAATTGGAACAATTCATAGCTGCAGCTTCTATGGTCCAATTGTGGTGAAATTTTTATGGTACGCTAATTATTGTATGCTTGAACTATAGTAAAAATTTCGTACTCATTGGACTATGTATAACTTAGTTATAGATAAATTCTAATTAATTACAGAAAAAATTGGATTTTCCAATTAATCTAAAGCTACAAAAAAAAATTTGTACTAAAGCATACCGTATTATATATTCAATGTGTAGATCTACTCATGTGGAGTCCAATAAAATTAGATTTTTCATTTTATGATTTTTCTATGATTTACTATGATTTTTCAAAAATTCACCGAAAAAAAAAAAATTCAAACCCACCGGCAAACCCGATGTTACTGTAGCAAACCGCTGTCAAAAACCGCCCGGGGGTAAAATAGACGGTTTTAAAAAGTTCAGGGGGTAAAATAGACGATTTCATAGTTGGGGAGTGAAGTAGACCATGTATGAAAGGTGGGGGGTTAAGTAGACTTTTTCCGTTCGTGTTTGGCAGTGCTGACAAATAGAATGGGCCTAGGAAATAATTTCTCAGTGCTCATTAAGTCGTGACAATACTAATACATGAGTCACCCATGCTCAAGCAGCCCTGAGCATGCCAACTGTGGCATTAAGATTGTTTGGCTAAGAACTTTATTTTTACTGGGATATACTTTTACTGATGTTCTGGAGCTCGCTTTGTCAAAAGAAGCATCCAGTACTGGCTTTGGTATAAAATATTCTCAAGTTGCAGTAATGGATCAGTTTTCGACTTTCATCGTGTTTTGTGCTGTCATTTTGAAGTGGAAAGCCAGATCCCATCAGTTCTTGTTCCATTTATCTTCCCATTGATTTGAGCAACAATTTTGCTTTCAACCTGTTTTTTCTGTCACATTTCAGTGCATTAAGACATCATTGCTTTAAATCTTTCGGTTGATTTTAGTTTTAAAATGCCCACTTTTGTGCTTTATCGAATCGCACGCTCACCTGTCTTCTTGCGGTTATGATTTCTTAGGCCACTTGCTTAAGAAAGAAATCCAAACCCTTTGTGCCGACCTCCCTGCGGTTTTCGGTTTACATTACCATTCCACGTTGCTCACAGCCTCCTTGCTATGAATTTTCTTGCAGAAGGACATCCAGAAACTCCTTGCGGCATAAGTACTTCCAAGTCTTTCAGTTGAGTATCTGTATGACTGTATATAGGCCTCGTCTAGAAGCTAGAGTAATACGTAATTATATATATTTTCTGTATTGTGTTTCTTTCTTGTAAAATAACTCATTCATTATCTATACGTGGTTATAGATGTAACATGAGACTATATTAAATTTTGGACTATCAACTCCGAAGTTCATCTGTCCATGAAACTCTGCCCAATGGATTAGCTTATGGGGTGCACTGGCTGGGAGCATCCTGAATCCTTGACTTGGGTTCACCTGTAGTTTGGTGTAGTTGGTTTGTGTACCGAGTCCAGATGGATCCGTCTGGTGCTGTCTCACGCATGCGCGCGGCATTGCTAGTTTATGCCGCTATTCTGTATGCTGTGTTTAGCCAGTTAGCAACACCCAATGTGATCTCTATCAGTTAATTAATGTCTGACCATTTTTGGCCTAATCCACGACTTAATCTCCACCAAAATCCAACTAGGCCTCTCCATCATGATATTGCCCAGTGCCCCACACCGACCTGACGCTTTTGCCGAGTTACTTGATGGCGTTCGCATGAAGGATTGGATTATGCCCTTTGTTGATCATAATATTCTGGAGTGACAAAGTAACCACAAAGGCCTGTTTAGGTTTGCTTGGATTTCATCCGAAAGTTATAAGAGTTTTGTATCTAAACCAAGGAATATCCAATATGGTTCCTAAGGAATATCAGCTTATATCCTAACACCTTTTTTTTAAGAAGGGGCGGCAAAAGCTTTGCCACGATTTATATTAGACGAAAAAAATAAGAATAAGTGTCGTAGCTAAGGTCTTGTTTGGAATGGGAGAATTGTTCCAAGTTCTGTAGGATTAAGGACCAACACGTGTAGTGTGCCTGCCTTTAGTTAGTCGTCAAAAGATAGAAAACAAATCTGGATAATGTCAATGTGATCTCACCAGTAGTAGGCCATGATATCATGCTTTTGCAGTATTCACTAATCACCATTAGCTTTGACCCTGTGAACGCTTGCCAGGGCCCACTCCCCCCAACCTTTACTCCCCTATTTAGATGACCATCTACCCATAGCGTAGCCTCTCATCACCCCTACAATCCATAGCAATTCTGGAACAATCCAAACCTCATTGTAATTGTAGTCCCCACAATGCCTCGATTATTCCTAACCCTAATTGCCATCGCCGTTGCTGTTGTCAGCTCAGTGGATTCACATGCCACTGACCGCGCTGCTCTGCTGGCCTTCAAGTCCGGCGTCTGGGGCAACCTCTCCGACTGGGGCTCCCCTAAAATGTGCAACTGGACTGGCGTCACATGTGACTCGACAGGGCGTGTGGCACACCTTCTTCTCTACGAATCTAACCTCAGCGGCATCATCTCCCCGGCGATCGGCAACCTCTCCGCTCTCAAGACGCTCGAGCTCCGATTCAACCAGCTCTCCGGCAGCATCCCGCCGGAGCTCGGCATGCTGTCCCAGCTCCTGGTGCTGAGACTTGGCCACAACAGTCTCACCGGTAGCATCCCGGAGGCTGTCGTCTGCAACTGCACCTCCTTGACCTCCATTGCCTTGAGCAGCAACTCCCTCACCGGCGAGATCCCTTTCTCTGCTCGATGCCGGCTTCCGCGCCTGCATCACCTCAGCCTTTACGCAAACAGGCTCGAAGGCAGCATCCCTTTGTCCATGTCCAACTTCACTAGCCTTAGCTGGGTGTTGTTGTAGTACAATTCCCTTGGCGGCGTGCTGCCATCCCAAATCTTCAACAAGATGCCATCCCTGCAGTATCTCTACCTGTCCGGCAACAGCTTCTCAAGTGATGGCGGCAACACCAACATTGAGCCTTTCCTTGCCTCTCTAGTGAACTGCACCGGATTGCAAGAGCTTGGAGTGGAGTCGAACGGCCTCGGAGGCGAGATCCCGGCAATCATCGGCAACCTGTCGTCAGCCAATCTCTCCATGCTCTACCTGGAAGACAACGAGTTCACCGGTGCAATTCCTCGCGCCATCGGAAACCTCCACTCGCTGACAGATTTAGAGCTACAATATAACATGTTGGAGGGGCCAATCCCCACTGAGGTGTTCCATCCACGTCGGCTTACACAGATAGTCCTCTCAAATAACCAGATCAATGGTGAAATACCCAAATCCATCGGCTTAGCTCGACAACTAGTTACCGTCAACATATCGAATAGCGGTCTTCGAGGCGAAATACCAGAGACCTTATCGAACCTCACTATGTTGGAGAAGCTCCTTCTTGACCATAACCAGCTCTCAGGTGCCATACCACCTGGTCTTGGCTGCCAATTGATCCTGGACCTTTCTTACAACAAACTTACAGGTCAGATTCCTTCTGGTGTACCTAGGCTTATTAGTAACTTCCAGATGTACCTTAACCTCTCTAACAATCTCCTAGAGGGCCCCCTAACATTGGAATTTGGCAATATGGAGATGATCCAAGCTCTTGACTTGTCAGGAAACAAACTTTCTGGGGACCTTCCATCTTCCATAGACGCTTTGAAAAACCTCCATTTCCTTGATGTTTCTTTCAATAGCCTTACCGGCATGATTCCTCAGTCTCTGCAAGGGTTGCCGCTCCAGTTTGCCAACTTCTCACAGAACAACTTCACCGGTAAGGTGTGCAGTGGAGGGTCATTTGCAAACCTCACTGACGACTCATTTCTCGGCAATCCTGGCCTATGCGGGTCTATTCCCGGCATGGCGCCATGCAGCAGCAGAAAACAGCATGGCCGCTTGCTGTACATAGCCATCGGCGTCGTCGTCGCCGTTGCTGTCGGCTTGTTGGCCATGGTGTGTGTTGTTCTTGATCACTACCTGATGAGGAGTCATTTGAGGTTGACAGCCCCATCTAGTCAACTATCACGTTTTCCGACAGGATTAGTCAACGCCACCGGCGAAAATGAGAGCAGCGAGCATCCAAGGATCTCGTATTGGGAGCTTGTCGACGCGACTGACGGCTTTTCGGAGGTGAATTTGATTGGGAAAGGAGGATACGGACATGTCTACAGGGGTGTCCTCCATGACGAGACAGCGATCGCCGTGAAGGTCCTGCACCAGGACCAGGGCCGCGCCGGTGAGGTGGTCGCCGGCAGCTTCGAGAGGGAATGCCGGGTGCTCAGGAGCATCCGGCACCGGAACCTCATACGTGTGATCACCGCGTGCAGCACGCCGGAGTTCAAGGCCGTCGTTCTCCCCTTCATGCCCAACGGCAGCCTCGAGAGCCTCATCCACGGGCCTCCGGCCGGTGGCAAGCCGGCGACGGCAGGCGGGCCGCAGCGCCTGGACCTGGACCTGCTGCTCAGCGTGGCCAGCAACGTCGCCGAGGGCATGGCGTACCTGCACCACCACGCCCCCGTCAAGGTCGTGCACTGCGACCTCAAACCGAGCAACGTCCTCCTCGACGGCGACATGACCGCCGTCGTCTCCGATTTTGGCATCTCGAAGCTGGTGATGACCGACGGCGCGAGAGATCCGGAGGTGATGGGCGACGCATCGACGTCCGTGTGCAACTCCATCACTCGGCTGTTACAAGGTTCTGTCGGCTACATCGCGCCCGGTACGTACGTGAGCAACACATGCCGACATGCGATGTGCCCGGACACTCTCTGGCTTAAAATTTTGATGCATGCAGAGTATGGGTTGGGAGGCCGGCCATCGACGCAAGGCGACGTGTACAGCTTCGGGGTGATGCTGCTGGAGATGATATCTGGGAAGAGGCCAATGGACGTGATCTCCGAGGAGGGGCACGGCCTGCACGACTGGGCCAAGAAACTCTTCCAGCACCAGCAGCACGACTTGGGCAGCGTCGTCGAGCGTTCGCTGCTGCAGTTTGGCTCGCCGCCGCGGGGCGACGTGGAGGTCGTCGTCGTCTTGGAGCTGCTTGAGCTCGGTGTCGCGTGCTCGCAGCTCGCACCGTCGATGAGGCCCACCATGGACGACGTGGCGCACGAGATCACTTACCTCAGGGACGGTACGTGGAGGAACCACGGGGTGACGGATCTGAAAACCACTGACCAGAAGCAGCTGAACTCCAAAGCAAGATTTACAGTCTAAGTACGAATGCAGGATACACTACTTCAAGTATGTGGCGTATATGTGTATGCAATTAACTTTGAATTGTTGGGATTGGTGTATTACCATGTCTTTACTCACTACGCCCCCAAATAAATTAACTTCTAAAATTGTTTTAAGTCAAACTTTTTTATTATCAATCGTAATTTGTAATTTTGATTTAATTTTAATCTAATTTGTCATCTTTTTCCATACATGTTGCATATGTATTGAAACCTTTTCTTATTTTTCTCCATATCTTTCGATACATCTAGATCATCACTGCACAATGTACTATAGGCGGAAGTGGTAGTCTTTAGCCTATTAAAGGTGAAAGAGATGATTTTTCATGGAAATCAAAATATTACTCTCTCCATTCCAAATTGTAAGTCAATTCTGGCTTTTATACATTATGTCTAAATGTGTACCAAAATTATGTATCTTTTTTTTTTTGCGAAAGATGTATCTTAAACAAACCATAACGATTTACAATTTGGAATGGAGTATTTTTCTATAAAATTTAATTTAGAATGTAGGAATCTACTAATTATAATTTGCATGGACTATTATTAAGGTGTTTTGTTTCCTTAGAATCTATTTGAAAATAAAAATATTATTTTTCCATAGATTTTATTTATATTCTGCCTTTACCAATTGTGTTTAAGTGAACTCTTTATTTAAGTATTTTTCTTTCAACTCACTGGGAAAGAAAAATTGTTATCTTTCTCTCAATTTTTATTTTAAATTTACCATTTTAAATTGTATTTGCCATTGAACTCTTTGGTTTATCTAAACAATAGATTATGATAAATCGAATTGTCAATGTTCTATTTTTCACACAATTAATTTTGTAATTTCTATTGTAAATATGTGGTGGCTCTCTTCAATCTATTGTATTAAAATAATAGAAAAATAATAATCAAAGGTGTTAACCACATTTCTTTTTTATATTGTACCTCGCTAAAATAGACTAATATGCTGTAAAATGGCCAATATCATTTAAGATTGATGTCTTGGAGAAAAATTGCCACTTAAATATTTAAATGGTTTTAAAAACATATTTTACCATTACTTTTTATGTTATATATTATCAAACCTATAGAATTGTATTTTATCGAGTTACTTTTCTGAACATGTGATTTATACATATATGAACTAAAAATACCAATTTAAACAATAGTATCAAAATTTTAAAAATTCACAATTTTTTCTTGGAGCACAAAACATCAGAATTCTAGACGGGACTTGCCTACTACGTGTAAGGACCCAAGACCTACGGCTACGGATCAGAAAGACGAATCCGTGGTAGAGTAGGACCGCTCGCTAGCCGTCATTGTCGACGATGCCGTCATCACCCTCCCCGTCGTGGCGGCCGCCGCGCCCTGGTGCCTGGCGAGGTCTTCCTTGAGGAGAGCAATCTCATGGCACACCTCCGCCATGGTCAGCCTGCCCGACGGCGAGAGCTGCGTGCACACGATCCCGAGGTCGATGAGCTCGACCATGACGTCGTTCCAGAGCCTCTCGTCGGCCACCGCCGACGCCGCGTCCGTCAGCCACGACTCCGCCACGATCTTGCCGACGTCGTGCGGGTAGTGCCGCCTCACCCAGTCGTGCAGCGTGAGCCCCTCCTGGAAGATCACGTCCGTCGGCCTCTTCCCCGTGATGAGCTCGAGAAGCATCACGCCGAAGCTGTATACGTCGCCCTGCGTCGACGGGTGCCCTCCCATTCCGTACTCTGATGAATCATGCAAGAACAGAGCACACCAAAAATGTTAAGCAAACGTACGTGACATGGTTTAGATTGTTGAACTTGGTTGATGAGCAAAGACTCTGTACCTGGGGCGATGTAGCCGACTGAACCTTGCAACAATCCGGTGATGGAGTTGCACGGATCAGCTGAGCCGGCGGTGCTGCCGAGGTCGTCGCTGTCGCCGACGTCCATGACCAGCCGGGCGATGCCGAAGTCCGCTACCACGGCCGTCATGTCGTCGTCGAGGAGGACGTTGCTCGGCTTCAGGTCGCAGTGCACGACGCGGACCGGCGCGTAGTGGTGCAGGTAGGCGAGCCCCTCCGCGACGTCGCTGGCAATGGAGACGAGCTGCGCGAGGTCGAGGCCGCGGCCCGGCCCGCCGTCGGTGGGGTACAGGCGGCTCTCCAGGCTGCCGTTGGGCATCAGCGGGAGCACGAGGGCGTGGAAGTCCGGCTGGCTGCACGCGGTGACCACGCGCACCAGGTTCCGGTGGCGCGTCCGCCGCAGCACCTGGCACTCCCGCTTGAAGCTCCTGCTCACCTCGCCGCCGCTCTTCGGGTCCAGCACCTTGACAGCGACGCGCGTGCCGTCGCGGAGCGTCCCCTCGTAGACGCGCCCGAACCGCCCCGCGCCGATGAGGCTCGCCTGCTCGAACCCGCGCGTCGCCTCGGAGAGCTCCCGGTGCGACACCCTCGGGTGGTCTCGCTCCGTCGGCTCGTCGGCGTCGGTCAGCAGCATCGAGCGGCGCGAGTCTCGCCGCAAGCCTGCTCTCACCGCCGTGCGGCACGCGACGACACCGATGATGGCAACCGTGAACGCGACGACCGTGATCACCACGGGCAACACCACGCGCCGGTCACGAAGCGCTGGTCGGTGCTTCGAGCCGCCGCCGCCGCCGCACCGAGCCAGACCGGCCACGGACCCGCAAAGGCCAGCATCGCCGAGGAACGCGTTGGCCGGGAAGCTCGCGAAGGCCCCCGTTCCGGGCACCTCGCCGGAGAAGCCGTTGAAGGAGAAGTTGACATGTCGCAACGACGCCGCCGTCGCTAGCGTCAGCGGCAGCGCACCCGTCAGACGGTTGTACGACACGTCAAGAACCTGCACGAACGGCAGGGCGCCGATGGTGTCCGGGAGGCCGCCCTCCAGCGTGTTGCCGGAGACATTGAAGTACTCCAGCGCGACGCAGCTTCCGAGCTGTGTCGGTATGGTGCCGGACAACCTGTTGGACGACAGGTTGAGCACCTGCAGCATCACCATCTTGCTAATGGCAGCAGGAATCGGCCCTTCCAGTTGGTTGCCCGAGAGGTTCAGGTAGAGCAAGCCGCCGAGCGCGGACAAGTCCGCCGGGATCTCGCCCTGCAGCGCGTTGTGCGAGAGATCGAAATTCTGCAGGTCCACGCATCGCGCAAGGCTCGGAGGTATGGCGCCGGAGAGACGGTTGTGACTCAGCACGAGCTCGCGGAGCTGCGTGAGGTTGGAGAGCGCGTCCGGGACGGCGCCGGTGAGCCGATTGTGCGAGAGGTCGACGAGCCCTAGCCGAGGGACCGTGCCGAGCGACGGCGGGATCTCGCCGGAGAGCATGTTGTTGGAGAGGTACAGCCGCTCGAGCCGCTGCATGGCGGCGAGGCCCGGTGGAATCGAGCCGTTAAGGAGGTTGTGCGACAGGTTCAGCGTGGTGAGGTTGGCGAGGTCGCTGAGGCTCGCCGGGATCGGGCCGAAGATGTTGTTATACTCCAGGTGGAGCTGTTGGAGGCCCGGGGAGAGGCGGCCGACGACCGGCGGGATCGTGCCGGCGATCTCGGTCCTGGCGATGCCGAGCTCCTTGAGGTCGGTGCAGTTCGTCAGCGACGCGAAGAAAGGCTCCAGGTCGGTGTTGTTCCGCGGACTCTCCAGAGAGTTGTACGTGAAGTACACAAGCTCCAAGCGCGGCATTCCGCCGAACATGTTGGACGGCAGCTCGCCGGCGAGGAAGTTGTTCTCCAGCAGCAGCCACCTGAGCTTCGTCGAGTTGGATATCGACGGCGGGATGCCGCCGACGAGGTAGTTGGACCACAGGACCAGGAACGTGAGCTCAGGGAGCGAGCAGTCTCCCCGGAAGGGGATCTCGCCGTCGAGCGAGTTGGAGGAGAGGTCGAGGTACTGCAGGGTGGTGGTGGAGAAGTTGCAGAAGATGGCCTCCGGGATGTTGCCGGAGAAGTTGTTCTCGCCGAGGTTGAAGTACACCATGCTGCGAATGCGCGTGACCTCCACCGGAATCGGGCCCTCCAGGTTGTTCCCGGAGAAGTCGAGCGAGTTGAGGCGGGAGAGGTTGCCGAGCTCGGGAGGGAGTCTCCCGGTGAACGCATTCATCGACATGGCTAGCACGGTGAGGCGAGAGAAGCTGCCCAGCTCCGGCGGGACGCGCCCCGTGAGGAGGTTTCCGGAGAGGTTGAGCACGCTGAGGTGGGAGAGGTTGGCGAGCGCAGGAGAGACCTCGCCGGAGAGCCTTTGCTTGCTTAGTGTCAGGTTCACGACACGCCCCGTCACCGCGTCGCAGGCGACGCCGGTCCAGTTGCACACGTCGTCATGTGGCGCGCCCCAGCTAGCGAGGACTCCATTGGGATCACTAGACACGCCGGACTTGAAGGATAGAAGCGCATCGCGGTCATCGTCCAACCCGCCGGAAGCGGCCGAAACAGCTGCGCTGATCGGGCCGTACGGGAGGAAGAGGAGAAGGAATGTGAAGAAGATGGCGGCGGACATGGACGCAAGCTCCATGGGAGCATGAGGCGCTGGATCGGGGTGGGGTGGGGAGCTCTAGGCCTCTAGCTCAAGACATTGGAGAGACAATGCTTGTTGGTGATAGCAACGTTTGCTACACCGCTGGGTGTTTAAAAGGAGGGAAAAGAGGCGTCTCCCTGCCTAACTGCCGTCTAGCTGCAGCCGTTGCACATTGGCGCCAAGTTTTTGAGCTCTAGGCCTCTAGCTCGAGACATTGGAGTGACAATGCTTGTTGGTGATAGCAACGTTTGCTACACCGCTGGGTGTTTAAAAGGAGGGAAAAGAGGCGTCTCCCTGCCTAACTGCCGTCTGGCTGCAGCCGTTGCACATTGGCGCAAAGTTTTTGACTTTATTTGCATCTGCAGGGACACGTGTCGGGACTCGACTGGTTGGCACCCGCGGTGTTTCGCTGAAACGTGGGCCCATGTCGTGTTATGTATGGAGCTGTGGATATAGAATAATCTAACCGTGGATTAGCACGCAGATGAGGTAATTAGTAAGGCGTGGATTAATGAGAGAGGCGGTGGATTAATTAGTGGGCGCAATCATGTGTCGTGTGCGTGCGTAAAAAAAGAACCGTGCGTGCGGCCGGATGGGCCCACCAAGATTTGCACGCGTACGTCCACGGTGGAACAGTTCTTGGTCTGGATATTGCCTTGGACAGAGCTGTGTAAGTTGTGGTAATTAGGTGGCTGCCGATCAAAGAAAATGTGGGTTTGTGGTGTGGACCGCCATTGCTCCGAATTGAAAGCTGGGTCTATATGTATGTAGGCTATCTTTGGGGATATAGGGATCTTTTTTAGCATTGTTTTCGAATAGGAAATAAACAAAGTTCAAAGGGTGGCACTGATTCTTCCACACAATGCGTAGAGATCAATTTGACAAACTCTATTCTCCACTCTAGATTGTTGCAGTGTAAAAATAAAATTTATATAGAGGTAGGTCAAACCTCCTCTGATAACTAAGATTGCATAGGCTATAGAGCGTTCATGTATGTTCTTGAGGCTAATTTAATTAGGACAACTATAAAATTTAGCAGAGGTTATTAGTATATGACCTATGCATGTGGTACACATATTTGGTTTATTTGTGCTTCGTATATATTAAGGGCTCATTCGGATATAGCCGGAATCCACCCAGGAATCATTTCAGTTGATCAAAGGTTATATAAATTAGTCAAGCAATCCGGCTAGAAATTGTTCTAGGAACGGTTCCCTAGGAACCGAAGGTGCCCTAAGTTGATGAAGAATCCTCTTGTTTGGCATATATAGCACTCCACGGTATTCTATGGAGAAGCTGAAGTAGAGGTAAGATCATGTTTCACTACCGGAAACGTCAAATTTGCCAAGTGTTTTTATGTTTGCCGAGTGTATTCTCTCGGGCACTCGGCAAAGTTCTTTGCCGAGTACTGCGCTAAAAACACTCGAAAAAAAAAACACTCGGTAAAGAGGAGGTTTGCCGAGTGTCAAAAAAAACACTTGATAAAGATGGGGTTTGCCGAGTGTTTTTTTTGACACTCGGCAAAGAAGTAAAATATTTTTTCTGGGAAAGAAGGAGAAGAAAAAAAAAAAAAAAACTTTGCCGAGTGCCCAAAATCTAGGACACTCGGCAAAGGAAAAAAATATTTTTTAGGAAAGAAGGAGAAGAAAAAAATTAAAAAAAAAACTTTGCCAAGTGCCCAGATCTAGGACACTCGGCAAAGGAAAAAATACTTTTTTTGAAAAAAAAGAGAAGAAAAAAAATAAAAATAACTTTGCCGAGTGTTCAGATCTAGAACACTCGGCAAAGGAAAAAAAGTCTTATTTTAACCAGCCCTACCCTTCTCCCCGCGCGGCCCCCTCCACTTCTCCCCGCGCCACGTCCTCAAGACGCCCCTCCCTCTCTCGCAAGACGCCAAGACGCTGCGCGCGCCGCCCGCCTCCCTCTCTCGGTGGCGGCCTGCCCTCCCTCCTCTCCTCCCTCCGGGCTGCCTCCCCTCCTCCCTCGCCTGGCTGGCTGCCCCCTCCTCCTCCTCGCCCACGGCACGGCCCGCCTCCCTCCTCCCTCGCTTGGCGCGCCCGCCGCCCTCTCCCGGATCCGGCTGCGCCGCTCCCTTCCCGGCCCTCCCTCTCCAGATCCGGCGGTGACGGGCGTGGTGGTGGTGGCGGAGGGAGGAGCGGCGGATCCGGTGGCGTGCTCGTCGACGTTCGTAGCTCCACGAGGAAGGAACGGGCGACGCACGACGCTGGCGAGGACGGGCTTGGGCGAGGCTCGTCGAGGTGGATGGCACGGTGGTGGAGGCTCGACACCGCGGCTTCCTGGTGACGGTGAGCAGAGGTGCCCGCAGCGAGGGCGTCGCAGCTCAGCGGCGTGGCGGAGTAGGAGCCCGCGATGGTCGCGGATGACGACGTCGCTGTGGCGAGCGGCTCGAGGAGGCGACTTTGCTGGTGGCGCGGTGGTGGTGCGGCGTGGTGGGGCCCTCCCTTCTTCCCCGGCGTGGTGGCGGCGGCGTGGATGGTGGTGGTGCGGCGTGGTGGGGCCTTCCCTTCTTCCCCGGCGTGCTTTTTTTTATTTTTTTTGAAAAAAAAGTTTGCCGAGTGTTTTTTGGGCATTCGGCAACTTCTTTGACGAGTGCCCGACAAAAAACACTCGGCAAACTAACGTTTGCCGTTAATAAGTTTGTCGAGTGTCGTTTGCCGAGTGTAACACTCGACAAACCCTTTGCCGAGTGTTTTTGGGACTTCGTCGAGTGCCCTTGGCACTCGGCAAATATCCTGTATCCAGTAGTGTGTATCCAGTAGTGTTTGTAGCTTGTACATTCAAGTAGTAAGTTATTTTAGCTTTTTTAGATACAATAATTTTTATTATAAATCTAGATATAATATATATCTTGATGGGTATCAAAATTATTTATCCAAAACTATTTATAATTTGAAATGGAGAGAGTACTAAAATGTCAGTAATGGAGTAAGGCCGGATCATCACAGCTTTGCCGTCCTGCCGCGTATGATGCCATATGGTTAACTATGCCCATCGATTATGCAAAAGAGATAAGCAGCCTGATCGGCTGGGAGCGGCTGGCTGGGCTAGCTGGCCAGCCCTCTCACATAAATATTATTTATGTGAATCAGTCAGCAATATTTTTCTCTTATATAAATGAACCAGCCACAATACGAACTAGCCAACCGAATATGCTTAAGATGATAAGAGCATTAGATGGAACGCACTGGACAAACGCATGCCGTACGTGTTAATTGCTGTGGTTGGCCTCCATTTATTTACTTCTTTTGCAAAAGGGGTACTACCATCTTTTGTACGAAAAAGAACAAAAAGACAAATCAAGTGCAGTATGAATTAGAAATCACTGAGCTAGTTACAATCACATCAATCTATGGACAGTTCTAGTCTATGGACAGTTGGACACTTCAGCATCACATACACCAGTCCAATCAAGCTGTTGACGCATGCAATGCATATGGGCCTCGTTTAGTTCCACACCATGGCTATCACATCGGATGTTTATATATATATATATATATTATTAAATATAGACTAAAAAATAATTAATTTTACAGATTGCGACTAATTTGTGAGATAAATTTTTTAAACCTAATTAACTTATGATTTGACAACGTGGTGCTACAGTAAATATGTGCTAATGATGGATTAATTAGGCTTAATAAATTCGTCTCGCGGATTACTGAGGACTTCTGTAATTTGTTTTATTATTATAATCCGAACACTCCGATATGACACCCGATGTAACATCCTAAACTTTACTCCGTGGATTTAAACATCACCTACGTTTTTTAGTTTCCTTGTCCAGGTTCAAAGCTAGAATTGTGTTTTTTTTGGATGGAGAGAGTAAATTGATTCTTGTAAAGTTTCTATACAATTTCTATAAAATCATTATATCCAAAGCTGTATCAAGACCCTGTTTGGAACCATAAGCTGATAATAGTTAGCATTAGCTGATAAGAGTTAGCTACTCCCTCTTTTACCAGTTATAAGATATTTTAGCTTTTCTAATTATACATAGTTTCGCTATTTATTTAGATATATAGTAAAAATAATATATCTATGATGTGCATATAGGTGGTTTAGTTTGCCCCAAGGCGGGGACATGAACCGAACAAGTCTATAGTATCAACCAGTGTGGTGGCTTACGCGTAATTGCAAAGCTAGTATTAGGAGTGCAACTATATATGTATCATATATTGTATTATATCCTGATTTTTGTATGAATATTTACTTTATCTCTTACCGCCACTATTCTTTCTGTCAGACTGTCACTACTATAATAACTGTTCTTTGAAAGGAAAAATTCAAACATGGATTCACTACTATAAAGAAAGTTTGCGTTCTTTTAACTTTACCGTCATCACTTTGCTCTTTTTCATACGTATCTACTCTGCACTCACCTATTCTCCTTCTCTATTGCAATTGATTTTTCTTGTTGTCGGGAGATCACCTTCCATCAACTGTGTCGCCGTGCCTTTCAAGTCGCCTTCGTAACGCTACACAATTAAGCTGAGTGCATGCAACAACATGCATGCATCTTATCTTCTTGTATTGTTTTCATTGCCGTGCCGCGTGCTTATTATTGGCGGCTTGTGCTACGTTCCCTTAGACCCCATTTGGCATTAGCTTCACTGTTGAAGTGTTTTTTTTTTTGAAAAACAGCTTCACGAGTAGTTTTCTGGGTGACCGAGCTGTTTGGCAAAACAGTTTCATCAACGGCTTCATTCATGACTGAGAGAGAGAAATAATGGAAAGAGCTATGAGAAGCTACTACTTTTTTCAACTTCATATCTCTCCATTCCTTTGTGAGAGCATAAATACTTTGGGTTAGATTTTTCATGGCATTTGTGGGTGATTAGTAAGTAGAGATAGGGTTGTTATTAGGTTGATTTTTTTTTTACATATTAGCAAATGATGGGTAATTTTTTATTTATTTATAAGTAGTTCTTTTTTTGACTCCGTATGTAATAACCACACGTGTCTATCGCTTTCTGAATTGTAATATAGCCAAGTTGACTGAGCTAAAGCTGGCAGGCGTGCTGATTAATAAGCCTAATTGATCTCCACGATAAGACCACAGAAGTTCCTGTCAAACCTCGAACATCAGTATACAATGTTGGTGGTGAAGATTGCATTATTGCATTCACACAATCATCATACATGATCTGATCATCAGATGCATCGAACAGTGCCAGTTGACAACAGTTGGTCGGGTACTACTAGGGTTTATTTATGATTGATCGCGAGCACCTGAATAATGACCTAACTCAAGAGCCTTTTCGCTTCCTACACCACCGCTAATGGAGTCCGACATGTTTGCAGCACAACAACAAAAGATTAATCGAGTGCCTTCTCCATCGCATAGTTAACAACTCAAAGAATCAGCACTACCAGTTCAGTAGTAGGCGACTCCCAACCATGGAAATAAACAAATCCATGGTGGCAGCCGCTAGCCGGAGGTGAGAGAGACGACCGAGATCGATCGAATCCTGCGGCCACCACCCACCGTAACCACGGAATTGAAACAGTGGCGGCTCGGCAGCACGCCGCACCCGATGTTTCCTGGCGGCGCGTGCATGCATGCACTAATGGATTTATCCTAAACAATTCGAGAGACGTTGGTTGTTTTTGCTTCAGTTGGAGAACAACGAGTCTTTGGTCGAGAGCGAACGGCGGCCGCCGCCGGCGGCGCCGCCGTGCCGGGCGAGGTCCTCTTTGAGCAGTGTGATCTCGTGGCAGACGTCTGCCATGGTGGGCCGCAGCGCCGGCGAGTGCTGCGTGCACACGAGACCGAGCTCGATCAGCTCGACGACCACCACTTCGGCCGCCGCCTCCTCGGGCGCCCGCTCCCGCCACGGCGCGTGCGCGAGGACGTCGGCGACGTCGTGCGGGTAGTGCCGCCTCACCCAGTCGTGCAGCGTCAGCCCCTCCTGGAAGATCACGTCCGTTGGCCTCTTCCCCGTGATGAGCTCCAGAAGCATCACGCCGAAGCTGTACACGTCGCCCTGTGTCGAAGGATGCCCTCCCAATCCATACTCTGATTAAAACAAAAAAAATCACAGGATTAATTAGTGCATGATGTCGAAATTAACTAATTAAGCAAGCATGTACATATCATCGTATGCATGCATACACGTAACACGTGTGGATGAACGTACCAGGTGCGATGTACCCAACCGAGCCTTGCAACAGTCCGGTGATGGAGTTGCACGGGGCGGATTCGTCGCTGGTGCTGCTGGCTTCGCCGACGGCGCCGGCGCCAGCTCCAGCGACGAGCCGCGCGATGCCGAAGTCCGATATCACGGCGCGCATCTCGTCGTCGAGGAGGACGTTGCTCGGCTTGAGGTCGCAGTGCACGACCCGGACCGGCGCGTAGTGGTGCAGGTACGCCATCCCCTCGGCGACGTCGCTCACGATGCCCATGATCTGGCCGAAGTCCAGGCCGCCGCCGCAGGCGGCGGTGGCACCGGCATTGTCCCCGTGCGGCGGGTAGAGGAGGCCGTCGAGGCTACCTCTCGGCATCAGCGGCAGCACGAGCGCGTTGAAGCTGGCCGTGCTGCAGGTGGTGATCACCCTCACGAGGTTCTTGTGGCGCGTCCGCTTCAGCACCTCGCACTCCCTCTTGAAGCTGCCGGAGACCTCGCCGCCTCCCTTCGGGTCCAGCACCTTCACGGCGACGCGCGCGCCGTCGCGGAGCGTTCCCTTGTACACGCGCCCAAAGCGTCCGGCGCCGATCAGACCCTCCTGAACGAAGCCCCCGGTCGCCTCGGAGAGCTCCCGGTGTGATATCCTCGGGTGCTCCCTTTCCGCCTGGTCCTCGACGTCGACGAGGCGCACCGATTGGCTCCCCAACCGCTTCGCCCTCGCGGTCACCATGGACCGGCACCCGACCGCGCATAGCATGAAGGACACGGCGGCGACGATGCCAGCGACGGCGAGTACCATCGGACGCCGGCGACGCGCACGCTTCGGCGGCTCGCAAGTGGCGATGCCGGGAACGTAGCCGCAAAGGCCGGGGTTTCCTCGGAAGGCCTCCGCCGAAAGGTTCGCGAACACTCCGGCGCGTGGCACCACGCCGGAGAAGTTGTTGTACGAGAAGTTCGCCTCCCGGAGCGACGTGGACACCAAAAGGGAGCCGGCCAGGGGTCCGGACAGAGCGTTGCGCGACACGTCGAGCACCTGCAGGAACGGCAGCGCCGCGACGGACGCCGGGAGCACGCCGCGCAGCGCGTTGCCGGAGAAGTTGAGGTACTCGAGCGCGACACAGCTGCCGAGCTGAGATGGGATCGTGCCGGTGAGCTTGTTCGCAGACAGGTCGAGCGCAAGGATCATGTCCATCTTGCTGAGCTCGAGAGGGAGAGGCCCCTCGAGGTGGTTGTTGGACAGGTTCAGGTACAGCTTGAGGCTGCTCAAGGCGGCGACGTACGCCGGGATCGGGCCTTGCAAGCCATTGTAGGAGAGGTCTAAGATTTCCAGGTTGAGGCAATCTCCGAGGCTGGGAGGAATGGCACCGGAGAGTTGGTTGTGGTGCAGCATTAGTCGCCTGAGCTGCGTCATGTTGGAGAACGTGTCTGGGATCGCTCCAGCGAGACGGTTGCCGGAGAAATCGACGAGGCCGAGGTGTGGCATCTCGCCGATGGATGTTGGGATCTCGCCGGAGAGGAGATTGTTCGACAGGTACAGCCGCTCGAGCAGGCGCATGTGCGACATCTCCGGCGGGATGGTGCCATTGAGAAGGTTGTTCGAGAGGTTGAGGTAAGTGAGGTTGACGAGGCCGGAGATGTTGGGCGGGATGGAACCCGAGATAGCGTTATCCTCGAGGTGGAGCTGCCGGAGTCCGCGCGGGAGCTCCCCGGCAAACGGCGGCAGCCGCCCGCCGAGGTCGTTCCCGGCGAGCTCGAATTCCTGCAGGCGAGTGCAGTTCCTCAGGGAGCGGAAGAAGGGGTCGAGGTCGGTGTTGCCGCCGTGGCTGGACAGGTTGTTGTACGACAGGTAAAGGTACTGGAGCCGTGGCAACCTGTCGAACACCTGCGACGGGAGCTCGCCGGCGAGGTAGTTGGACTCGAAGTCGATCCACTCGAGCATGGAGGAGTTCGCCAGCGCCGGCGGGATCTCGCCGGACAGGTCGTTGGACCAGAGGAGGAGGAACCGGAGGCTGGGGAGGCCGCAGTCGGCGGCGTAAGGAATGTCGCCGGCGAGGGAGTTGTTGGCGAGGTCTAGGTACTGCAGCGCGGAGCAGTTGCAGAAGAGCGTCTCCGGGATGCTGCTGGAGAGCCTGTTCCCGCTGAGGTCGAGGAAGTACAGCTTCTGGAGGAGGCCGAGGCCGGCGGGGACCGCGCCCTCGAGGAGGTTGTTCGTCAGGCTGAGCTGCGTCAGGGCCGAGAGCGCGGAAAGCTCCGGTGGGATCGTGCCGGCGAAAGCATTGTTGGAAAGATCGAGCACCGTGAGGAAAGACAGCCGCGCCAGCGCCGGCGAGATCACTCCGCGGAGCTCCTTCCCGCTCAGCACCAGCTGCGTGACACGCCGCCGGCCTGGACCGCCGCCGCCACACGTGACGCCCGTCCAGTTGCAGAACCCCGGCGAGCGGCCCCAATCCGCGAGGGCGCCGCCGGGGTCCGCCGAGACGTTGGAGAGGAACGCGAGGAGCGCGGACCGGTCGTCGTTGGCGTCGGCCACTGCAGGCGGTCGTGCGGTGGCGGCGGCCGCGACAGCGATCGGCACGATGAGACCGACGTGAAAGATGATGATTGGGATGAGCAGTTTGGCGGCCATGGTGGCCGAAAGGGCAGTGGCGACGAGGCGGATGTGGTGACCATTGATAGCAACGTCTGCTACAATGCCGTGGGTTTTATGGTGAACAGGGGCCGCGTGCGGAGGTGTAGACGTGTAGTAGCTGGAGAAGATACGAGGAAGGGAAAGAAAAGGCGGGAAGGTGGCTGCCTAACTGCAGTTGAAACTTGAAAGGCAGCGGATTAGCTAGCTTTGGCGCCAAATGTTTGACTTGAGATCAAGGGATGGGTTTTGGTTATTGATCATTTGAGATAGCCCACCTGGAGATTTCACAGTTGTTCCCGTGAATGTCAAACATAGATTAGTTTTGCTTATCATTGAAGCCACGAGTCAAACTACCCATGGCCGTGAGTTTTATTTCTCCACGCTTCAATGGATATTACACACAAGGGCGTTACTATAAAGGCGTGGCTAGTGCTCGGACGTCCGGACGCTAGCCCCCTGTCCGGACGCCTACGCCGCTGCCTCCGTCCCGCATCCCGCACATGCCCGCCCACGTCTTACCTACATGTTGTGCCTGCCCGCAAGGACATGGGACCCGTCCGCGCCAGTGGGGACCGCCTCAGCCTTCCCGCGCCTAACAACGAGGCGACACAGCATAAAAGACGAGGAGGGAGATGCAATACTCGATCTAGTTTTGAAACATCCAGATGCCACAATTGCAGCATATGTCTGAAAACAAATGAAACATTTGAAACATGCGTCTGAAACACTTGCAAAATAATCCTGAAAAACACTTGAAACCATTGTCCAGATAAAACACTTGCATCATATGTGTGAAAACATATGCAACATCTAGATAAACACACTTACAACATGCGTCGAAAAAGTAGATGAAACATTGACGTGTACAGCCATTGCAACATGTGCAACATCCCGATCTACTTTTGCAATGTCTGTATGAAACACTAGCAACATACGTTTAAAACATTTGAAACACTTAAAACAGATGCTTGCAACATAAAGTTTCAACGCAAACATCTTCTTGCTGCTTGGGAGAATGGAGGCTCGTCGGCATGTGGAGTTCGCCGGAGGCAGCAGCCTGGCGGTGCTTGTAGGCAGCGGCTCAATGGTGGCTGCGCGACAGGGCAGGGAGGCAGTGGCCTCATGCCGCGCCGGGCAGGGCCGATAGCCAAGTATCGCGACTCACAGGCGGCTACGCGCCTGGCAAGGTCAGCAATCGCGCCGCCGCAGCTCGCAGGCAGTCGCGTGCCGAAACCAAGAAAGGGCAGCACCACTCCGCATGTGGTAGGGCTGGCAGTCGAGCGCCGCATGCGGGAGCTGAGCCGAGCACCACGTGCGGGAGCGAAGCGAAGCGGTGCGAGGCGTGTGAGAGTTGATTTTGTTTTTTTAGGCGAGTGGCGCATGCGGCAATGAGTGGAGCGAGACGTCTGGCCTTCTGAACGTATTAATGGTAGCATTAATACGTTCAGAAGGGAGGTTCGCCATGATGCACCTTTGACCCTTTCAACAAAACCCTAATCAAGTCGGCACTTGCCCTTTTCTGTTGTGAAACCAAACCGTTCAAGCACACACGCAATCCTTACATAAACTAGAAACAGTCGGCCCAATCCCCCGACGGCTGCACTGCTAGTGTTAAAGCTAGCGTGCGCGTGATCATCTATGGCCTATGGCTATGGGTGACGACGATCGAGCCGGATTTGGGTGGGATTAAGCCGTAACACGCGTGCCATTAGGGGCGCTTAAACTATGATTTGCATGCTGCGTCCACGAAACAAAGTCAGTCACGCGCACACACTGGTACTATACGGTACGTTTCCATCATCTCCTATTATTGTGCTTTGCTACGTCATGTGGGCAAGGTTGCGTTGGTGCGTGTCGTGTGTGTGTTTTGTGTTGCGGTGTGACGCGGCGACCCGTTGACACTGCACGTACAACACAGTTGCACAAGCAGCCAGCCAGGGCTGCTTAATTGGTGGCCTGGGACTGGCGCTGGTGCGGTTGGGGAGGCTTGTCTGCTCCGATGATGGCCGATGGGCGATGGGTGACCCGGACCTGGACGGGACATGCAACCAAAGCTTGTTACTGACCGTCAGACACCGAAAGCTGCAAGTCACTTCAACTCTGCTCTCTCTGCATGCAGCTAAAAGAAGTCGCATGACGCCATGACGTGATCGATCCAATACTGAAGCAGGCAAGCAGCCACATAGCGAAAGTGGCAAGGGAGCTAGAGCCTGTCACGTGTTGGTACGTGTCGTTCTGTCCAGGAAATGGCCAACACGCCAAGCGTGGTGAAAGGGGCCTAGTTGGGATAAGTGATGCCAAGTGCATGGTCAAAGAACAATCACACTGTAAAATCAACTGATTTAGATATAGGCAATTAGGTATGGCATGGGGTATCTAACGCAGCCTGCCCCAGATCGCTCGATCTCCATGGACCATCTGTTTATTGTAGGCCTTGTTTGATGCACGTGTATTAACTCTAATCCATATGTATTGGAGTAGATTAGAATGTAACTTAGTTTAATTTTACTTTAATCCACTTCAACACATGTGGATTGAGATAGATGCATGCGCATCTAACAAGGCCGTAACGATTTTTTTAGCCTCACACACACGATTGACATCTAGCCATCTAGGTATAGGTCCCCGATCAGAAGATTAGTTAGGACATGACCATTAATTTCTTTTGTAATACTCCCCCATTCTCTTTTATAAGGCGAAAACTAATATCATGGTCTGAACTTTAAAAATCTTTGATCAATAATTTAGATAATAAACTTTAATTATTATAATATACAACTTGACACGGTTAGATTTGTAATGTAATATTCAATTATCAAGTTACTGTATAAAGTTTACAAGTATGGAAAATATCAAGGATGTATCCTGAACCTTAAGGCTGGAAAAATGCATCGGGCGCTCGAGGGGTAACATGTAATTAACTTGTACTCCCTCCATTTCATTATAAGTCGCTTTGACTTTTTTGGTTTATCCATTTTGCTATGTATTTAGATATATTATTATATGTAGATTGTAGATGCATAGTAAAATAAATGTATCAAAAAGTCTGCGACTTATAATTTAGAACTGAGGGAAGGGAGTAACTAATTTGTAAGTCAACGGTGTTAAAAAAAATAATAGTTTGCACATCAACACATCATGCTCTTAGACTACTAGGTGTCCCCACAGTGCCGCGTTCGATGCTAATGTCATCGGAGGGAGTGGTGTTGAGTCGACAGGCTGAACGATATTTACGGAGGCCAGAAAATGACCGAGGAGAAGTTACTTGAGTGGAAGGTGAAAAATGATCATGGAGATGTGGAGAAATGACAGCGACAAGCATAGGGAAATATCTTTGAAACTTTATTTTTCTCGATTTACGTGTGTTGTTTCAATAGAAAGGAAACAAATACAAGGAAAGGCCAGCGAGCAGCTCCAATACTGTAGACGTATAGCTTAGAAAACTTGGCCTCCACCACACACTGACACACTTCCTGGCATTTGTCAAAGATAACGTACTGGATAAGTGAGTGACCACATGAGTAGCTGTAGCACTGATGAAAACACAAATTCTCAATGCATATTCTAGTAATAATGTGCAATTCTTACTCCTCTCAGTTCGAAATTGCCGAAGCTGTCTTGCTGCTTATTTCAGGAAAAATGACACCAAGGCATGTCTACAAAGTACAAAGCTGACCTGGTCTCAATCAAAAAGTGTATCCAACATACCTCTTTAATAAAAAAAAGGGACGAAGGATATATGTAGTTGCCACTTCCTAACTGGAAACTCAATCAGCATATAAAGAAAATATCAATTTACTATTAGACATAAAAAACAATAAACCAGTTAATATGTATCATACAAGTAATCAAGTAAAAGTTAAGTGCACAGCATCAGTGTTTAGTGCTCACTCTTCAAAATGCACGACTAATAGGAAAAAGAAAAGGAACAAAAAGCAGGATCTCCTACATAGTACCCTAAACCAAATATACTAGCGTGCGCCCCACACGCTTCGCGTGGGAAGGAGAGGAAAGGGAAAAAAAAAAAAAGGAAAAAATGGGTAATAAAAAAAAGCACTGTTCATTATCGGGTGGGAACTGTTTATCGTGGATCCGATAAAAAGAAGTGGAACTGTTTCTTAACGGGTTGGATACTGTTCATCGTTATCCGTATTGTTTCATCTGCAGTGATATGTGAGGTCGCGGCGGATGAACAGTAACCATGAAGCGGCCCCCTCAAATTTATAGTCTTTTATAGATATGAGAGCACTATCGTTGCAAAATTACTGAAAATTTCTCTCCTATATTTCTTTAAGGATAGGAGATAGTGCATTTTCTCCTTTCTTTAGGGGAGAGAGGGCTGTTTTAGGAGATCTTAAAAATTATAGGTATATAAGATGATATAGGAGTACATTTATCTCCTTAAATGCTATTTTCTTCGTTCCAAATTATAAGACGTTTTGATCTTTCTAGGTATATTCTTTTTTGCTATGCATTTAAATATATACATTATGTCTAGATACATAATAAAACCAATATATCTAGAAAAGTCAAAACTTCTTACACTTTGAAATTGTGAGAGTAGTTCTTATGTAGAGAAGATTAGATAGAAGATCTACTGAATATGCTCTTAAAGATAAAAGGGTACAAAAGTGCCTTGGTTTCATATCAATTGTGTGCCGCAACCTCAGGAACAAATTAAACATGTTCAAAAAAAAAAGAGGTAAAAAGGTGCCTTGGTTTCTCCTGACAACCCCCTGCCCCCCTGACAGTTCAAAAAAAAAGGTAAAAAAGTGCCTTGGTTTCTCCTCAGTTGAGGGTAATGCTTCAACAAGTGTTAACACTGAAACCAGAACAAATTGTATGTACAAGCATAAAGAGAATGATGAAGTATGCGTATGTATCAGCTACGGTGGCTGGTTCTTTCTGGAAAGGACTGGTGACAGACTGACAGCTGAGAGGTGTTCATATGCAAAAACATTACTCCCTCCCTCCGGAAAAAAAACGCACGGACGGAG